TTTGTATTTTGTTTTTCACTATACAGATATTAAGTTTTATGTAAGGTATAAAAACAAAGCATTGAATATGGTTACAGGTAAATAAAATGAAAACTGAAAAAAGACAGCATTTTATTTTTAAAGTAATGTACAAGTAATGACGCTAGTCAAGTTACACTCATACATGGAGGTGAAATTCAGATCTCACATAAAAATAACATTTTGTACTTACTGTACAAAAAAAAAAACATGATGATCACTGCTTACAAACTTAAAGATAAATGCAGCTCCAGACATTACCCCTACATCAGGTCCTTGAGGGAGAGGGTACGTCATCGATGACATCACTGTGAGCTGGAAAGTTTCAGATTTTGGAGGTTTTCGGATTTTGGAATTTTGGATAAAGGATTTTCAACCTGTAGTAGGTTAATTTGTTTCTAGGAAATTGGCCCTGGTGTGAGCATGTGCCTGTGTGTGTCTGTGCGTGCCCTGCAATGGACTGGCATCCCATCCAGGGTGTTTCCTGCATAATGCTCATTACTTGCCAGGATAGACTCTGGCTCCTCTGCAGGTCTGTAGTTGATAAAGCTGTTAGAAAATAGATGGATGATTATTTTGATTAAAGTGTACCTTCCTGTGGAGCAGTACAGTGGCTCTGTGGCTAAGGATCTGCACCTGTGGCTGGAAGGTTACTGGTTCATATCCTGCAGCTGGCAGAGAGATCCTACTCCGGTGGGCTCCTGAGCAAGGCCCTTAATCCCAACTGCTCCAGGGGCATTGTATAAATGGCTGACCCTACGTTCTGACACCAAGCTTCTGTCTGTGTGTCTCATAGAGAGCAAGTTGGGGTATGAGAAAAGACAAATTCCTAATACAAAAATTGTACATAAAAAAAAATTGGCCAATAAAGTGATCTTATCTTATTCTTTAAATCACCTGGAATTGATGTGTTATATTAATAACTCATTGTTAATTTGATGAGTCTGTGGTTGCAAGTTGAGGTTAATGATCCAGATACCATGGTTTCAAGTCTAGTCATGTCACTAGCTGACTGTGACTGAGATTACCCAAGTGACAGCTATTGGCTGAGCAACACCAAGGGTAGGTTAGGATTAGTTAGGAGGGATTTCTCAGCAAGTGACCTCTGTGGCCTCTGGGGTGCCTGCAGGCTTGGAAGTGCTGCAATGAAGGACAAGCCTCTCCTCCCACTGGCACTGAACCTCTTGTACAGGATAATATTGCCTGTGACATGTGAATAGATGAATGCTTTGAAGGCAGGCAGGTCAGAGGATTCTGTCTACATTTATTCTTCTCTGTCTAAGCTGAGACATAAAAACACATAACTGGAGTTTCTAAGATCAGATAAGTACAACAAAAAATTATCTCTAAATTAATATATATATATTTATTAAAAACAAGGTTGCTTTTTATAACTAACACCTTGCTGTTATTCATTTAAGTGGATGGTTATATTAATTTCACATAAATAATTTCCAGACTAAAGCATGTCATATTGCATTGGTCCTATATAAGATTAAAATCAGACTAAATTCAGATATTTAGGAACAATTACTTTCTAAATAGTCAGTATAAATGGCTATGATAAAGAGTAAAGAAATGAGTATAGTAAAGAGTACTAATCTCTCAGTAGTCTGTGACCCAAAAATATTTAAAGAAGGTCAAGAACAGTATGGAAGCTATATACCAAGTGCAGACCTTATGGGGGAATTATTACTTCACTAATTTTTCTAGTGAGTTATTATAATTTAGTGCAATTCAGAAAAGAAATAAATCTGTCATTAAACTGCATTCAGAAATAAGAACGATGTATGAAAATATATGCATGCTAATGTTTGCAACACATTTCTAAAAACATTGTATATGAATGTTCAGTAAATTTGAAGATTACTTATCTTTCCTTTCCTGTTAATACCAAAAGCCAAAACCTAACAACATGAACTGTAGATCGTTGTACCACGCATTTTCTTATTTTAATATACTGTAGAGCACACAATAGCACTAGTTGAAAGTGGCATCAAGTGCAGCCATGGAAAGAAAAATGTGCCCCACAAAAAAGACAAATTAATAATTAGACACTAGAGAGAAAGTATTTGAAATGCAAAGTCTGTTTTATTATCTAGTTGGCAGCTTGTTCCATATCTGGAGCAGTCTCCTCAGATGCCATGACTTTCATCCCATCCTTAAAAAAACTCAAAATGACGTTACCTTGATATTGCTATAAATACATTGTGGATTGCTTCAGCGGTTCCCAGTGAGAATTCTATTAATTTGCCAATCCAATTGCTTAGCATGGTGTCAAGCTGGAAAGTGATTTTCTTTTCTTGTTGCTGATGATGTCATGCCAAATGTGGTTTCTTGCAGGGTTTCCCCGTGTACACGTTTAGCCTGACAGCAAGTGCAAATTCTCTTTAGGTGGCAAGATAAGAATAACTAAAAACATTTTTTAAAATGTAGCCTTCAACTGTCAGTTTAAGAAATAATAATCATGAAAAGTCCATCATGATTTACCCTTATATTTCAAAACCTGTTTAAACATTCTAAATGTGAAAATAAAAATTAAAAATAGGGATTTCATGAACAAATTTCAAAGCGCAACATGAACAGACCTGCAATGTCAGTGTATTGTGAAAACAACACAAAATAGTATCAGTGCCATATCATTTGCTTTACATAGCAAAACATAAGGTTAATGAAACATAGACTGCATCCCGTATAAAGGCGACAATTATGTGAAAAGGACATGAGTGGTATAAAAATAGGTACATTGATCAAACCATCAATCATCTTTTCTGTGATGCTTGTGGTAAAGAAAAAATGAAGAGTATAGATTGGAAAGTTCCAAGTGAAAGTGATAAAGGGTATTCAACTGCTCACACGAATGTCTCTCTGCCAGGCAAAGGCAGCTCAGTCCCAATTTCAACAAACTACCATGTAACATATTTCAAAGATTTTGTTTTACTGGTGCACCATGTGACAAAATTGCAAATTGACAGACAACTGCCTTATCAATTACAGCTGGTTAGGGGGTCCAGATACTAGACAAACACCTTAACACAATAGTGTTGACTATCTCCTCAAACTCTGCAGTAGTTTGTGTTGATCTCCAAAGAAGGTTGAGACAGGGTTTCTCAGCTGCAGCTGCGTAGGCTCGTTAGACCCTTGAGTCATTTCTGCCAAGCCAGCCTTGCTGCTAACAGTGGCAAAACACTTACTGATTCCATGTGAAAAATTACTTCTCCCACACTTGATCGCTTCAAACCTGGGAATGCCATAGACATAACAGCATTCATCTTCAGTTTTTATCTTCAAAATTGATCAATCATAATGTCCCATTCACATAATTTTCTGTTTTGGTTGGTTTGCAATATAGGTTAACATCTGCTACTTTTTTTAAAGATGTATCTGTTGTATCTCATCATATATGCCGTACTCATTAAAAGTGATAAAAAAGCATATAATCATAATAACAGTAATCAAGAAAATAAACGTTTACAAATTGGGTGCCGATCAATTAAAGCATTTAGCAGCATAAACAACTTCAACTCAGAAAGAGGCAGTGTGGCTAATATGATGAAAGAGTCTTGTACTGTACTTGATTAAGCATTCTGTGTTATGTAAGTGCCAATATCATGGGTGTCTGTCACTTTACAATCCCTTTATGTGTTACGTTTTAACAAAATATCTACCACAATCTGAAGTATATATATGTGTGTGAAAAGGTAGAAATCATATATTTTATCAATTAAATGGCAGTGATTTTCAGACATCAGTCCATAATTAAAAAGTGGGGGAGGAAATATACAGAACAACAGAAAATAAGAATCTAAATCACATTTAAAATTCAATTAAAACTGTTCAATGTCAATCACATTGACACAATTTCCTGCACTGTGCTAAAAATGGTATAATTCGTCCTTTGATAGATAAAGTACGCCATAGAAAGAGTGTCTAGAACCTTTAAGACTTCATACAGTATATTTACACAAATACTATATCATATGGCCACAAATCTATATGCTTATTAATGTTATCAGTAGGACTATCATTTCATTTGTTCCTTCTTGTATAAACTCCATAATTACAATTCTTTCTCCAGTGGTGTATGATAAGGATTAAGGTTTTTATGCTCTGCAAGTTTGCTTGGACTTAGCAAGGCCATTTTCAATATTCGTTGTCTGCTGTAAATCATTTTCTGTTTGCTGTGCTATTCTGAGTCATTAGATGGCTTTGCTTTCTAGGCATACAGTAATGTAACACAGGAAATTTTGCAATTACTAATCTCAGTGTAAAGTATATTCAGGTTACATATTGTACATACTGAAAACTACAGTGCTTTTCTCTAATGGTGAAAGAAGAAAAATAATCCAATTAATTTAACAATAACTCAATTGGAGTACACCTGCGTACACTATTAAACTGTTTTTGTCTTTTAATTCCAGAAATTCATAAAATTAAATTGGAAACTTATTTTACGTCAAGAGATAATACTATTTTATATAGATATAATAACTTAAATTGACATTATTAGCTACTTCATGCTCATAACATCTCAAACAATATTTATCTTTTCATTCTTATATTTTTGTTCAGAATTTTTGAAATCATACCCCAGATACAATATTGGCAACATTACATAAGTACTGAACAGCTTGATAAAAAGTAACAAAAGTTTGAAGGCTCTGTTCATAGAGTAAGTTTCAGTATTTCACTCAAAATAAATTAATTGTTTGTAGAAGCATTGGCCAAATACCAACATTAAGGAACATGTGTATCACAAAAGAATCAAAATGATTGTTTCTGGAACTGTAGCATCACATCGTTCACATGCATCACATTTATGTCTCCTAACTTTATTTCACTTTTATAAATTCATAAAGAAAATCCAGCAAATCACATGAAACATTCTTACTTATTAAATCATATTCTACACATTGCTTGAAGCATGCATCTTCCACTTTGAGCAACGGCACAAAAAAACTGAGATATAGCAATCTACTTGCCCAAGTTGGTACAAGAAGGCTGTCAGGGCGCTCAAGCAGTTCTGAAGGGTGATTCCCGGCCACGTTCATTTCCCATTCAGCTGGAGGCTTTGAACATTGAACTCAGAGGGTCTGTTAACAGTCATTTATCCAACAATGCCAGGCTAATGCAGGCTATTGATGCATCCTTCCCCAGATTGTAAGAAACAGAGGGAGTGAGAAAGATGCAGCATGCTGTTTGCTTGCAGACGGAGAGGAATTTAATGGGATTATACCCTGCTTGCCACCAGGATGGCGTCAGAGCACTTTAATTTGACATTGGCTTCAGGTTTACACACCAGTGAAGGAAATCGGCCAGAGAGCCCAGTGATAAGAGACCCACTCTCTTTAAGTTAACTAACTCCTCAGGGTATGTCTGCCAAGCATTTGCTTCTTTTGATGCTGCTGCTAGTAGCCAGCTGCATAATGTGCTGTGGATGAGAGCTGTGTGCTGCACAGTTCAATCTGTGTACAGCATGTTGCCTTCTCCACCTGCTGGCTTTCCAGTTCTCCTCCCATTTGCCGAGTGATGACATTTCTGTGTGTTATGTATTAACTCCTGAGTGTCTGCTTCTTAAAATAATTAGTTGCACAGCATGCAGCTGCAAATGTCTACCCTGGAAAAGAGTGCTATGGAAGTAGTATTTATAGACTCAAGAAAATAATGTTAGCAACTGCAATTTAAATCAAATGGCTTTTCAATTCTTATCAATAAAATCATTATATTTGCCTAATTCACTGGACTCATTGTAGCTCTTTAGTTGACACCCATACATGAAGATACATTTACACTTTAATGGCATACAAATCAGATACAGAGACAGTCATTTACAGTAGATTGCAGAGCAAAGATTTCAAGACAAGCAAGCAGGAATTAGTCAAATGAATAATTCTATATTTGAATTGAAACACTATTGTAGCTCAACAAACAAAATATGTTCAGTTTTGATGAAGCTAACAAAAAATTGTATGTAATTCAAAGAAACCATTGTTGTGTTATTACTTTATTAGAATATTTATTTAGAGGATGTGATTTGCAAGCATAACTCTGGATTTGCTATTATAATTGCTACAGGCATTATGATAATAGATTTGTCTAGCTTTAGTTGCGTATTAATGAAAAATTAGCTAATGTGAATGTTATATTATGAACCTGGCAGTTGTAGGCAAATGAAATAAATCAGGCTAAAATTTCAAAGATAAAATCAGGTCCTGACTTCAGCTTCCCTTGCAACCACATTGTAATAATTACTCACCACTTATTGTCAGGAAATACATAAGTGGAAACACAATGGTACAATACATACAGTAGCTATAAAACATATTCACCCATCCTGGACTTTTTCACATTTTACTGTCTTTCAATATGTTATCATCATGCATTTAATTGGTATTTTTTGATGAACACAAGCACACTATAATGTTGAACTGAAAGCGATATGCTATAGAGTCTTGAATTAATTATAAATATCAATCCATTTCTAACTGCTTTATCCAAAAAGGGGCACAGGGGAGCTGGAAACTAACCCTGCAAGCAACGGGCACAAAGCATATTACACCCTGGATGGAATGCCACTCTATTGCAGGACACATACAGACACAAACAAGCACACACTCACTCAAGGACCAATCTTCCTAGAAGCCAATTAATCTTCCAGTATGCCTTTGGACAGTGGGAGGAAACACATGTGAAAAAAGGGAGAGCATACTGTCACGGATGTCCAAAGGGACTAACCATGGGGAGCAGGAGAGCGGAAAAAGGCCCGGGCTCATTAGTGCAAAGAGTTCAGGAATGCCGAATAGAAACCAATGCCCTTAGGGAGCGGACGCGGGGCGCCCTGGTGCTAGGCGGGTCTCAGGACATCCGAACGTCAATGCTGAGCGAGGACAGAGTGCAAGACCCGGAAATATATAACCCAAAGGAAAGAGAGGGACCGGAAGGACAGCAGACCGGAAACTAGGGACAGGACAGAGAAGGAGCGCCCTCTGGCTGCAGAGGGCGTGACACATACTGATGCAGCTAATCAGAATGTGCAGTATTTCTTCCACATAGGTTACATGTAACATAGCGCGTTGTGTTATGAAATTCACTGGCAAAGATGATCAATAGGTGGCACTTGTGGTTCATTAGATGTTAGTGAAATGATTGCTTCATTTAATCTGTTTCTCCACTGTGCATGTTTAAATCTGCTTAATGTGGAATATTAATATGGAATTTTACAACTGAAGGGACATTTTGGTAGTCCAGCATAAAAATAACAATTATTATTAATTATAAATATAAAACAGAAAATAATTGATTATGTAAGTACTAATCACCTCCTTTGCTATGAAACACTTAAATAGCCTAAATAGGTACTTTCTAGTCCCTCAGTTGATTAATACAGCAAAGAAAAAAAAACTACATCATGAAGACAAAGAAACGTTCAAAGCAAATCCAGGATAAGGTAACTGAAAAGCATCAATCAGGGGAAGGGTTATCAGACATTTTTCAAAGCATTAAATGTTCTCCAAAATACAGTAAAGTTAATCAGAACTGAAATTGCAGAGGTCGTCAAGTGATCTAAGACATGGGAGAATATTCTTCTTCCAGCAGGACAATGACACAAAAGATACAGCCAAAGTCAAACTGGGGTAGCTTAAAAACAAAAAAAGTCAATGTTTTGGAGTGGCCCGGACAAAGCCTGAACCCCATACCAATTGAGAATCTGTGGCAGAAATTGAAAATTGGTGTTCAAAAATACCTCTGAAGGAGCCCAAGGGCAAGGCCTTTTCCCCAGGCATCCTGACCATCTGAGTCCGCGGCTCGAAGCGCCTTGTTCCGTTATGGTTTTAACCTTCTCTGTTTCCGGATCCCTGTTCCCCATGTTTGTCTCGTCCATTCCTCACCAGGACTTCCCTATTGTCCTTCTCTAGCCACTTCCGGATTCTACTGTCCACATAGGGTCTTTACCATGTCACGGATTTTGGAAGATACGAACCGTGGAATGGCAGGAGAGCAGAAAAAGACCCTATGAGTAGTGGTGGAACGGGGAATTAGCCTGGGCTCAGCACTGCAGGAGTTCTGGAAATGCTGTATAGAAACCTATGCCCTCAGGCCACGGACGGAGCGGCAGCCTGGTGCTAGGCGGGTCTCAGGACATCCGAACGTCAATGCTGAGTGAAGGGGAATGAGTGACCCCGAAATATATAGCCCCAGACAGAGAGACACCAGAAGGACAGCAAAGCACAGGAAACTAGGGACAGGACAGAGTGGGAGCGCCCTCTGGCTGAAGAGGGCGTGACAACTACACATTTCATGGGAGTCAGCTCCCATATAGTGCTTTATGTCTATCAATGGCCAAAAACATCAGGTCATTTGTGTCACATCCTGTCTGTGAACACTGTTAGCTCGTTATCTTAAGTTCATGATCCATGAGCTTGATACCCAGCTTGTTGATATTCTGCACAACAGATGTTTTTAGGTGAAGGGGTTCAAAAAACAAACACGGGAATAATAGTATTCAGACAAGAAAGTGAGAGACATAACTGTGTGACAATACAATGCAGAAGTAAACAAGAGTAGACACAATGCACAAGGACAGCATTTGAGTTTACTGTAACCAATCGCTTCCAGGACTTACTGAAGAGTGATCTTGTCACTATCAGCATAGAGTAAAATTGGAGGACTAAAAGTGATTGTGTTAATAATTCAAATCTTATTTTGATTGATGCCATTTATGAATCCAAAGATCATGTCCCAAGCAAAGATTACTTAACTTTAAAAATAAACTGGGACTGGGTTTGGAAAAAATATAAATTCTACTTATTTTACCAGCCTTAAGTATATTTAGAGTAGAGTTTAAAATTATATTAGGAAACTGATTACAAAAGTTTTTAAATTTGTATAATCTGCACTTTAATGTTTAATTAATAATCAATTCATTTTATAGAATTTAACACAAAGTTTTTAATAAAGCTTGAAATTAAATCAATCGCACACCTAGGTTGAAAAATCTTGGTAATGTTGACGAGGAATCTTGATGAATCATACATACAGTATCTTTCTGGATTCAGATTCATCACAACACAGCATACAGAGCCATGAAAGATGTCCTGTCAAAGGCTGTAAAAGTAGTAAATTGTATTTGTGCCGGAGCCCTCAACCATTGCTGTTCAAGCAGCTTTAAAAAAAATGGGAGCAGAGCATGAAGTTCTTCTTTACTACACAAAAGTTCACTGTCTTTCCAGAGGTCATGTTGTGAAGAGTTTGATGGAACTTCAATTTGAAATCTCACTTTCCTTCAGGGAGAAGAAAATCCTCTTTCTGAGCTTTTTGAAAGAAACTATTTTATTCTTTTCCTTGTTACAGTAAATATGGTAGATATATTTTCTCATCTATACCATACAAATATGTCAACTCAAAGTCCATCTGTTTACATCATAGATGGTGCTGAAAAACAGAGTGCATTTCTGGCTACAGGTAAATACAAAACAGACATTATACCAATTCTCCAATTCTTGGAGAAGTATGTCTTGAAGTAGACATAAAAATCAAGAAACTATTTCCATGTTCTCACCACAAGAGGGAAGGAACTTTTGAACAGATATGTTGTTGAAAAGAACTTGAAAGCTTTATCAGCTGATGTTCCCTTTACTGCAATTTACCTCTGAGAGTCAGGTTTTCTGACATTAGTTGGTTTGAAGAACCAAAATGGATTGGATGCTGCAGATGACTCCCCTGTCAAAACCTGTTCTGATACTTTGTTCTTTGGTTGATGCTAAACAACAACCCTCCTATTGGAGGTGATGAAAAATACTCTCTACTTAATCATAATGTAGCACTTATGGGTTCATGCAGGACAAAGTTCAAGTGGAGGTGAGATAGGAAAACAAGCAACAGCCTTTTATTTTCCTTTGCAACAACACCAACCACAGGATTTACACACACATTCGGGGACCGACAGAACAAGTACACAGGTTAAGGGTGGTAACTCGTTAACAGACTCTACACACTAAGCTGCACAGGACACTTAAACTAACATAAGTCTATTTACATGAGCAAGGTCAGCTGCTGGTCATCGTGTGGACCCTCAGACTCCAACCAGCTACAGCTCCCAGCCTGCTTTGCGATACCCTGAGCACCTAGGTGAACTTCCTACTCACCACCGGGCGAGGGCGCTACATTAATATTTCTTTTTTGATCAGTTTTTTTAAATAATCAACTCAAAACCTAAATTTTGCCTTACTTAAATATTAAAATATTTACTTTTTGTGAAGTGAAATATTTATTAATTTTGAAATTAGTTGTTTATTGTAATTGTGTCTTTAAGGGGAAGTTACCCTGTACCACGGTAGGAGTATGGGGCTTCTAAAGCATTAAGAATCCCTGGGGAAGACGGATGATTCTGATTTACTGTAAGGATTTAGCTTGTACACAGAAACAGAACACACAAGTTTATCTTCTCTGGAATTCTA